ATGTTCGTATCTGTTAAAGCATTGAGTACTCAAGTATGTTTGTTACTTTGATTATAAGATTCGTTTTTGAATCTAAACTGCACCAAACCTTAATGACAAAGGCATGCTTTAGGAGGTGGGATATAAATTTTCGAAACATAATATAAGTCATATTTTATGTTACTTTATGTTATGTTATTTTATGAACAATTTTATCACCTCCTCCAATCCACTTCTCCAGATATTGTCATTATCTCAGAACATGGGCAAGATCATGATAGTCTGAACAATACGCGGCTGTGCAACTACAGTCTTCTCTCAGCCTACTGTAGGACAAATATTAGTAAAGGGGGTGTTGCCATCTTCAAACACTGTGACCTTGAGAATGAGGTTGAAATAATAAACTTAGAGCTCGCACGCACCCCTTTGGTAATAGAAGTTTCTGCGGTTGCTGTAAAACTTAATAAACAGGCAAAATGATTTGTTCTGGGCATTTATCGTCCCCCAGGAGAGGACAAGGATGCATTTGATCTTTCCTTGGAGACTCTTTCAAAAATTTGGGACCCTTGGGTGACACAGCATGACATAATTCTCATCATGGGTGACTTCAACGTGAACTGCCTTGTATAATCAGCAAGAAGCAAACAACTGGACAACCTCCTAACGACTTTTAACGTTCACCAAATTAAGCTTCCTCCTACAAGAATTTCTAAGGAGTCTTCAACATCGATCGACATGTGCTGTGTATCTTCAAATTTCATGCAAGAGGTAGACGTTCAAGTTATCAATACTGGAATTTCAGACCATACTGGACAATTGTGCAGTACCTACCTGTAGCACAAATAAAACCTTGTTTTTACTCTCACCGTTGCCTCAAACCACATAACTTAGATAATTTGAATCTTCTTTTATCACTTCAAGACTGGACAACTATCTTAGAATACAGATGTGTTGAAGATGCCTACAATAGTTTCATTTCAATCATTACTTTAGCTCTTGATGCTACATGCCCCCGAACAATGTCCCGAAGCAAGAAGAAAAATCCTGTAAAACATGTTTACGACGATGAAGCCAACATTATGAGAGAAGACTTAATTCGTGCTTAAGACCTCTACATCCTAAGTGGAAAAGAAGAAGATAAATTTCAGGCAAATCAATTAAAGAAAACCTACTACCTAAAGCTGAAATCGCTGCGTCGTACAGCCACTGCCAACTACATCTCGGAGTCCTCAGTAAAGTCTAAGGCTATCTGGAATGTGATTAATAGTGAGCGGAAGTCAAAAGAGCTTTGACCTGAAAATTGTAAATACCTTATGGTAGACTCAAATAAAGAAGAAGATCCCAGGGAACTTGCTGATTGTTTTAATGCCTACTTCACGTCAGTTGCTGAAGAAACCTTAAAAAAACATCCCTGACCAGAAGCCACGAATTGAACAACACCCCCAACTTGATGTACCGTTTTTCTTGATGTCGTTACCACTTACCTCTAAGCAGGAACTGCCCAAAAATTATCTGCAGTATACACAACAAGACTTTCTCAGGCTTAGATGATTTTCATGGTTAAACACTAACACTGCAAAGATGAACTCCTAACACCTCTACAACATATAATAAACCTAAGTATGTCCCAAGGTATTTTCTTAAGCAAAATGAAAAGCTCAATAGTAATTCCGTTACACAAGAAATGAAGCAAACACGACATAGAAAACTATAGGCCCATCTCATTGGGTTCTACCGTTTCAAAGCTTGTGGAGAAGATAGTTCTTACTACTAGCTCACGGACCATCTAGAAATCAACAGGACAAGGTTCCCAACATGGTTTCCAAAAGAAGAAATCTACAGTTACAGCCTCGGTAGAATTGATTGAACACGTTGTGGACAAACTCGAGAAGGGGGAGAATGTAACGAGTGTCTTCCTTGACTTGAGTAAGGCCTTTGATCGCCTCAGCCATAATCTGATCCTTGCAACACTTGAAGAACTTGGTTTGCAAGGTGTTGCCTGGAAATGGTTTCAGAGCTACCTAGTGGGACGCAACCAACTTGTTCAACTAAGACAGAAAGTGAATGGGAGAGTCTCTGCATACAGATCAGAACTGCTTCCTGTTTCAAGAGGCGTACCCCAAGGGTCTATCCTGGGGCTGGTGATTTTTATCCTATTCACTTATGATCTTCCATCACACCTCGAGCCGTACAGCAAAGCATTAATGTACGCTGATGATACAGTCTTAGTAACTTCAAGCAAATCAGTTGAAGATCTTGAAGTTAATTCTTACATAGCCTTAAACCTACCCATTGATTACTGTAACATGAACGACCTGGTATTCAATGCGGGGAAAACCAAGCAGGTAAACATGGGAACGAAGAGAGATGAGAATTCTGGCTGTCCATATCTTCAGGTCACTAAATCGTCAAAGCATCTTGGTTTGGTTATTGACAGCAGGCTCTCATGGGTTGATCACATAGACGAACTATGCATGCGAGATTGAGCAGTGCAACCTTCGCTCTAAGACGCATCAAGTGCATTAGTACGACAGAAGCCCTAATAAAATCATATATCATTCTCTCTTTGAAAGTCATTTCAGGTATGGCATTCAGCCTTGGGGAAGTGCCTCTCTTCACATCATCCAACGTGTGCTGGTCCTGCAAAAGAGAGCGTTAAGAGTCATGGCTGGCCTAGGCTGGAGGGAGAGCTGTCGAGAGCCTTTCAAACAGTGGAACGTTCTCACTGTGGTGACCATCTACATCTTGGAAGTTCTTTCACTCGCCTCCCTGAAGGGTCTCCATAAAAATGAAGATACCTACCAGTACAACACTCGGCGTGCTGGAGACTTCAACCTTCCTGGCCATCACAGCAAGCGGGTTGAAATGAAGCCATCGTACAACGGAGCGAATTTCTTCAACCTACTACCAGATGAAGTCAAAACTTCAAAACCTCAAATGTTTAAGACAAAACTGAAGGAGTGGCTGCTAGGTCATCCATTCTACACGATTAATGAATTCACCAACTGGCGGAGCAAGTGAATGTATCGAACATTTTATTGTAAAGCAAGAAGAAAGTCTATCTAATTGTTTGTACATACACTTTGTATTTTTGACACTATTTCAATCTTGAAGATTGCAAATAAAGCATCTCTCTCTCTCTCTCTCTCTCTCTCTCTCTCTCTCTCTCTTTTAGCTTGCGTTTATTCAAAGACAACGAGGTATCTACATCATGTGTCTTCTAAAACGCACTACAGCTAAGTCATATTAAAACTGATCACTATTCACAAGATCAATAATTAATCTTTATGTAACGCTAACGCTGTCAGCTTCCACCAAAATTACCAATACACGCCAATGTCCTCAGGTAGCACTGTTCCATGGGGGGCTAACACAACACAATTGCGAACAACCGAATCCCATGACGCCCATGACTAGGTTTAAAAACACGCAGTTATTTATATTTAAATCCAAGCCCTTCTCTCTGTTTAGATTTGCTAATGCAATTTATGGATAAAACATCATAAAATTAACAAGCTTTAATCCTTTATATGATCTTTTGTCTCTTTTAACGGTGATAAAAAGTCATATCTTACCCGGGGCCCTATTTTTGAAATGGTTGACTGTTGAGTTGAGTGTCGAGTCATTCTATTTCCAATCGTTTCGTATTTTTGAAACGGTTGACGGTGGACTTATACAACCAAAACTACTCAACACCTATCGAGCTGTTGAGTGGAGGTTGACTGCACTTTCTTCTTCCTCTCTTTCGGCAAAAAAATACTCTTTTTGAGACGACGCCATATTGTTTTGTTATTGCTTTAATTTACTAATTGCGATTTAGAGGTTATGTATTTGTTGTCAATGTATTAGCACCCAATTATGCGATTGTTTTCTGTAGAATAATCGCATTTTAATTTTATTTACTGTGTCAATACTAGACTATTTAATCAAGGGTTTTATTCTTGTTGGAATGTTTGAAATAGACTAGGCATACTAATTGAACTTATTATAAGATAATTAATTGTTATTAGACCTATAATTTATTAAGGATTGTGGTAGAGAGAAACAATATCATAGTTTGTTTGAATACCAAATTAATTTAAGTTACGATATGCTTTCAGTGCAATGGCAAATAGCCGCTTTAACCTAAATAAAAAACAATTAAAAATATTATAAAACAACCCGATGAAGGAAACTAAAATAAGGTTATGTGTTCCGAAATAGAGACGAAGAAAGCAAATAATAATGTATTTAGGATGAGTGTAGGACCTAAAGTAAAGTGCAGCCTATGCCTAAACTTTTAATTAGCTACACCCTAAAACAAACATCCATAGTAAATTTTATTTTTTATACTTAAGTTTATTACTTTATTTAGTTTACTTTAGTTAATTACTTAAGTTAAGGTACTTTGCAATCACTAAAATTAAGCAAGACATAACCTCAATCTCTCAAGAACGGAGTTGACAGTTTACCTCAGTGTCTCGAAATATGGCAGATTGAGATTAGCTGCCAGATTTTAGAGTAAGAAGAGGTTAAATCGAAGTCCGCAAGAACTCTGCATTGTGATTGGTTCAAAATGACGTCATCTGAATTTTTGACGGTCGTATGCTCTACATTTCCACCACGAGTCTCTCAACTAGTGATCCCCAACTCGCTTCCCAACTGTTGGGTTTCAAAAATACCAAATCATGTTGTTGGTTGAGTTGAGTGCTGACGATTGACTCAACTGTCAACCATTTCAAAAATAGGGCCCCCGGTTTCAATTGATGAATTGAGAACAAGCACTGCTCATGAAAAGGCAAAATGGGTACATACATATACAAAGCTTCATGATAAGATTTTAAGCCAACTATAGGTGGGAAAAAAGGTTTACAAATAAAAGACGATTGACGAACAGCTGGGCACTGGGCAGTGCTTTTTGCCGTTCTGCGAAATCCAGCTGTTAAACATATGTTTTGAAGAAGTAGCCAATCACAAATGAACAAATCTCTCGAAATGTCATAACCTCTCACTTGGCCGTCATTTCTATTAAATAACATTGCACGCCTCACTCACTGCACTGTGCTCTTGCCTAGTACACCTGTGTTTATTTTAGAGGTTGAGGTATTTTGTGAGAGTTCTAGAAGTGAAAGTCTCAATCCATCCTTGCTCTTGGTTGCTTGGAAAAGTAAGTAGATTTCTATGCATTTTCTTTTTACTAATGTCCTCTATTATTAACCCAACCCCTAATTTATCTAATTCACTTCTTGTGTTAGTAGGCTAAAATGATAGTCTATGTAATTCAGTTGCACCTTACAATAATTTGACCAACAATACAAACACAATGACCATAATATTATCATTTAATTGACTATTCAAATCAAAAATCTTGATTTGAATAGGCTATTTGTAACTTGTGTAGAGTCACTTAGGTCTGGTTATAGGCCTAATTTCCACTAATCACCTAGTTTGAGTGTCATCTAGTTTGTTTTTTTTTTGGGGGGGGGGGGTGGGTGATTATTTCATTGGCATCATGTTATTATTTTCTTGGAACTAATTCATACTCTAAACCATATTTTAAACTAAATATATTGATGGGGTGCCGCTAGCCAAGTGGTTAAGATCTTTGACTTCTATGTAAGAGGGACATGTTTGATTCCCGGCATATCCACTCAATAGGCTTAGTCCGGTTTCCCTTAAAAGGTTTTTTGCTACTGTTCCTTCTGTAAAAATGCGACTAGCATAGGGACTAATTACCTATTACATTTTAAATATATTGGCTACTAAAAACAAACAAATTCGGGTAGTTTTGTTTTTAGTTAACATTCATCATTGCTTACGCAAACCAATAAAATTAATCATCCTCTGTAAATTTTTAAGACAGGATAAGTAGCCTACTGTAACTGAAGAATTTGATTGCATGAGGAGAATAAATCCTGTTAGGCTTAACTTTGATGCTCTGTTACCACAGCAGCCGTTGTGTTTAGATAAGTTGTTAAGTTGTTCACTAAGTTATGTATATTTTAACTTTATTTTTTACTCTACACAATAAGCTACCGGTACTTTAATTTATACTTTTAAATGAAATGGCGACCATAAAAAAGTACACATCATAAGCCAAGTATGAATGGAGATGAGTGTAAGTGGCACGATCTTGTAGTCCTGTTACTGACTTAGACTGACAAGTTGCTTGGACAGGAACTGTTAATTAATAGCCCATACAGCCAATGGCAACTAAGGGACCTACAGTTAATATAGTGGAATTCGAACCACATTTTTGCCTTGTAATTTACGAATTGGTCTAATCATCAGGATAGTACCGCAGATAGTCGTAGTACTTACTAGTGTGGACCTTAATCCACACTAGGGAGTATCTCATCCAAAGATCATGGCCTATAAAACATGATTTGTGACCTCCGAGTAGCTGGATTACACTACGACGCGACGTTCCCAGTCACAGCTCATTCTATCCAAGGATTGGCGAAGAGTTTTAACAAAAAGTGCAAACGGTACCTACCTACGAGTATACAGCTACGAGGCCCACAGTGGTAAGGTTGGCTTTTACCACCATATGCCCTATCCATATTTTGATTCTCAATATTTCCATAGTTCTGAGAATTCTTTATGCTAAATCCAATCTTAATCGATCAAGATTAGGTTGTTGAGGACGAGCCTGAGTGGTGTAGAAATATATATAATTTTTTGTATAAAGTTATAACGCCTAGGACTACATAATAAAATTTACGGTACTTTAAAACTTTATAAGTTTTAACTACACATAAAATGGCTAACTTACATCCACCACACTCATTCTTGCTATTTTGACCAACATAGGTAAGTTTCACTTTGTAAATTTTTGCAAACTAAAAAAGTGCTTAATTCATTGTACGGTACCTAATATTTTGTGTTTAGCCCTCTTAAAAAAACGCTTTTATTTTAATGCTTCCCAGTGAAATAAATATACACCTTTATGGATTGGTATTTTGTATGTGAAAATATCCACAATAATTCTGTACAGTACCTATGTTTGTTAGTTGTCAAATGTAATTTTTCAATTCAAGTAACAATCAAGTAAATGCCCAGTCTAAAACCAATGTTTTGATTATGTCAAAATGTTTATTGGCAGATAAAATACAGTAGAACCTCGATAACAAGACTCTCATGGGGATTATTAAACAAGACTTGTTATCGTGGTTTGCAATAATGTGTGTAAGAAAATTTGAAAATAACACCTTTTATCAAGGGTGAGTTAATAATGTCCACATTACATTATTAAGTATGTTTTCCACACGGTACTTAATATATGCTATCATATAATACTATGTTATCGTACTATGTTATTAATAATAGGTACTATGTTTATCATATGTCATCATCGTTCCACTGTACCTATTGTTTTATTTTCAGATGCAGTTGTTTCGCACAGTATGGGCCGTTGTTACGCTAATGTTGGCTGCTGTCGAACTAGCAGAGATGAAACGTGATTACTATGATGTTCTTGGCGTAGACCGCAAGGCTACAACACAACAGATCAAGAGGGCATTTAGGAAACAGGCTGCCAAATATCATCCTGACAAAAATAAAGATCCAGGAGCAGAGGATAAATTCAAAGAAATTAATGAAGGTATATTTGTTGTAGAGAAGGATAATAGGATTGGCAATGGGTTTGTCACAGTTTTAGATGGTGACAATAATTTGGTTTTAAAACAGTTATATGCCTTAAGTAATCCTGGAGTTAATTGAACAACAATTTTTTTTTAGTTTTTACCTAAATTGTCAGTTAATACAAATCCAGTCTTCAATGAGCCTACTCATATTTAATCTTGACATACAAAAGTCCCACACAAGTTGACCATTGTTCCGAGCACAGACTGGCGCCAAGTAATTCGTTGAATCACACATGCGAGCACTAGGCCTAGTGTTGGTATTCAGGCCTGACCACTGACCAGCGAACGGTGAGGCGAGGTGCAGGCGAGGCGCGGCTATTCTGTAATACACGTGATTAAATGGAGCACCGCACATTGAGCAGAGGCTGCAGCCTCTGTCAGGCCTCCGTGGAATACAGTTTTCCTGCACCTCGCTCGCGCCTGCGTTGGGTTTCTAGTGTTTTGTGAGTGAAAAATATAGAATGGAGCATTTAATTCAGATGGTTATGTGGTTGAGCTTTAAATTCCTTTCCACTAATGCCACTTTCAATCAAGTTATGGATATCATCAAACTGTTGTTAGTTCACCCGAAAATATTTTCTAAAAGACTGGTCTAGCAGTTCAGTAGGTAGTCAAAACATACTCTCCATGGCTCAATATTTTTTTTCATGTAATTCAAAAACATTTTTTACGTTTTTCGGATAGCGAATAGAGTGAAACTAAATGATTAAACTCACAATCAGAATTAGTAAAAGTTCAAAGAATCTTCCTTTCCTCGCGACAGTAGCACCAAAGCTAGGAAACCTCTGTCTCGCCTCGCTTCAATGTGCGGTGACAAGAAAAAGTCCTCACTCCTGCCTGCACCTAGCCTGCACCTCGCCTCTCTCCAATGTGGGGTGGGCCTGACATGGTGACTCAGTAGGCTATGGCAATGGCATTGTATTAGTGAGTGTAGTGATGAGGCCTTTCCATATGTGCGTATTAGGTCTTTCTAGATTCCATATGTATGCAATTGATTTTAATGTTGAGTCTTAAATAAGTTAAAGTAGCTTGATTACATGGGTGCAAAATATTCTGAAAAAAGTTGCGATTCATGAGAGGTTCATAAATATTGTGTACTTTCGTATTATATGGAGGCCACCCTTATACAGCGCCAGCGCTTTCTGATGGTTATGTTAGGTTGGGTTATCATAAATATGTTTGTAGGACTTTCCTCGTTTTGTTATGAATCGAACGATACCAGATGAGTCATACTTTCGCCCACCAAATCCCCTCCAAGTAGGCCAAGGTCAGGTCGTTGACTGGAGCACGTGCATCACCTGACACTTCGCCTGTATGTGGGCATTGAATACAGAAGGTTCTGTATTCATTGATCTGGGGCAGTGTCATGAGTGATGACTCATCTGGTATCGTTCCATTCACAACAAAACGAGGAAAGTCCTACAAACACATTTATGATAACCCAACCTAACATAACCGCCGCAATGCGCTGTATACCTACTTGGCGGAGTATATGTGGCAGCTAGCGGCAGTGAAGCATTCATTATTCAACTCAATCCTCGCCGACTTCTGGGAGGCAGAATCCAAAGGCCGCTAATCGTAATCAAGTCAAATTTGGACTGTAAGTCAATTTAAGTATGTTATTTTCAATTATGTAGTTATTTTCTGTCTCAGGTAAAAAAAAAATCCTTCTAAATTAGTGGCCTCCGGAAATTACCAAATATTGTAATTTTGGTATTGGAGAAACAGAACTATTAAAGCTATACAGGTCATTTAAGCTTGGCTAATTTGAATAGAAAGGTACAACTGGTCCCATGCAACAAGCTAATGCAGTGAACTACAAGCGTCAAGCAGTAACAAAAACAATCTCCATCAATAGAATTAAAACGCACACTAGAAGTTTCAAAAGTTTGTGTGCTTTTGTTATACTGTAATAGAAGACCTGGTATTTGCCAAGCAAGAGCAGCTTATTGAGCCTCTTCTGGCCCAGGGTTTCAGTTCCTGTCAAAACCCATGTTTCTATCACACCGTGAAATTTATCTGAGTTATGTAGGCAGAACTACATCCTTGGTTTGATTTTGCCCATAGCGTCTCTTGATTTTATTGTAAATGTCAGCCTCTAAGAGCCTTTCTTGATATTACCTATCCACCATTTTCTTCATGGTCTTCAGGAGAAAGGATGGAAGACTTTCAAGTCCAAAAGCTTTTCATATCCTGAAAGCTAGTTAAAACTTGTCCTGAAAAGGGACTAGATGGTCCACATCCTCTTGTTAGAATATGGGATTGATTAACCGGGAAATGTCTTATTGTACTTCATCTGCTCTTCATGAGACTCTCTCAGCCCTTCAGATTGTTTTGTATTACTGTAATGGTTAAGAGATCCTATTATGCGTTTCATTTTTATTTGTTGAAACATTCTACGGACACCCTTTCTCATTATAATCAACCCCCTGTCCCACCACCATATTTGTCTACTATACTTCCTTTCAACTTTGGAACTGTATGTTAAGACCTTTGTTTGACTTTTTGTAATTTGAGACCATCAATAAGTACATTCCTGGCTGAAATAAATCGTTTGGCTAGCATACTCAGCCAACTCTTTCACCATTTTAAACCAAATAACTTCACTTTGTAAAAAAACTAAGGACTCTCACAAAAGTTTATAATTCAGCTTTTGGCAGCCCTTGAAAAATCGCATTTAACTTGTTTGCTGAGGTTGCGTGATGGCCAGCTGCGGCGTTTAGTGTGCAAAAACTTTTAAATTTAAGAGGCATATTATAGCATGTACTGCGTTCCAGTTGTTGAGGACATAGTTTTACAAGAACCAAACAGATAGCTTTTTAACTTGTCCGATTATCAATATTTGAATTATATAAAAAAAAATTATTTTTTCAGCCAATGAAGTATTGTCAGATGAAGAGAAGAGGAAAAGGTATGACATGTTCGGCCATGAAGGACAGCCTGGCGCCGCACCCCAGTGGCAAGAAGGTCCGGCCGGCCATGGTGGATTCCAGTTTACTTTCGATGACGATCTTTTCCGCAACTTCTTTGGCCAAGAGTTTGGAGGTGAAAAGTTCCACTTCAATCAAAGAGAGTTCCACGGAAGACAACCTCATCAAGGCCATCAACATCACAACTTCTTCAGCTTCAACGACTTTTTTGAAGAGGTATGCTTATGGTAATAAAAGAGAATTCTATCAGGAAAGATGACAAGTTTGTGAAATGACATGATCTTGACTAGTGAGAGAAGAGCACACTAAATAATCTATATAAACACTTAATATAGAAATATTGACCATGAGTCTACAACATGTAATGTGTTATAAAGTTCCTGGACGTTTACCTTTACTTTACTGTGGTTCATCCCTCAATAGAATAAAATAGTTTTTACCAGATTTCAGAGGTGCAATATATTCTGAACTAAATTAAAATTAGCTTTCAAGAACCATGATCTCCTATTTCTTTATCTTTTACTCTTTGAAAACAAAACCTTGGATGGAGTAAAGGTGTCAAATATTATCACAAAACTCCTCATCATAAACTTACAATTTCTAATATAAACCTCCAACTACAACTAATTATCATCAGACAAATTCCTTGCTACTACGGTAAAACTTGAGTTTAAAATAAAGTTTAGATAAAGGGAAGTAACTGCAATATTGGTTTCATGCATTTTTTGTCTGTAAATAAAATGTTTGCACAGACATTTAAAATGCAATCTTATGAAAGATTTGAATGCATCTGATTGTAATTACTTTGTCTCGTGGAAATTAGTTTTTATTTCTTATAGACTGTGTGAATGTCTCACTATAATAAGTATCACTATTATTTCATCATTATGTCACTTGTTTACATCATGATTATTTATTTTTATTAAGACTTCTGACCTCTAAGCCTTGATTTCAAACAATTTTTCGGGAGAAGTAGTGAATGGTCACAAATCACAATCATTGATTTTAAAGGCTAATAAGTTTTTAGTTTTCACAAATTCATATAGCCTATTTATCAAACTTCAGTGATGAATCTACACTCACATCACATATTTAAGTTGTCACTTACACATTTATGTTGACATTATCATTTGGACCTTGCAGTAAATTGTTGGATTTTGACAGTGGCGTAACAGAAGGGCCTGCAGGGCCCGCGAACCGGTGAGCAGGAAACGGCGAGCAGAGAGGCCTGTGAGACGAGTGGGTCCAAAAAATTTGGGTTCATTCTTATTCAAATGTATTACTATGGATAAAACATAGTTCCTTAGTATATTTCCCATCCTTTTGGAACAGCTGAAGCCAATTTTATTGTTAGTTCTGTCCGGTTTTCTTTAGATGTTGTGTTTTGTTTACAATTTGTTTCTATTATTTTAGGGTTATTTTAGGGTAGAATCCAGAAATGGATAACATGTGTGATAAATTAAATGTAAAACCTCCTTGATATAATCATTCTGATATGGATGATAAAATACAGAATTTTTATTTTATTCCAAAACTATTTACAAACGCTATAATGATGTAGTGATGTAACTTTTTGATAAAACCATGACTGAAATACTTAACACTCCATTTTATGAAACATAATCCATAATTTATTTACTACTCTATTTATGACTAATCTGTTTGATAATTATAAAGGTGGTCCAAAAATAACTCTGCGGGGAGGGGGAGGGTGTTTGATTATGTTGTATCGGTGGTCTAAAAATAACTCATGAGAGGTGGGCCCAAAAGATAAGTTTGCAGGAGGGCCCGTAAAAATGTGTTACGCCACTGGATTTTGATTGGTTCGTACTTTCATTCGTAACTTGGTTAAGTCTGTATAAAAAGAAACAAAATATCCTTCGACATGGGAAGGATGAGAAATACAATCTTCAGCCTAAAGTGACAAAATCTTCTTAATAAAAACTCCAAAGACCTTTTTTCATAAAAACCAACTGAAAAAGAAGTTCAACATTAAACTCATTCAGAATCTAAAATGAACAATTACAGTATGTTGTATATGGCCATGTTTAAAAAGGTCTATTCTAACCTATCAATCTTAATGAGTAAACATGCATGGTGTTGCGCAATACCCTTATTCGAGACATTTCTATCCATTAGTTAAAACAGCTGACAGTTGCCTTAGTGCAATCATTTTGTTTGAACAGCTTGTGAACGCTTGATTGCTTGTTGATATTCTGTTTTATTTACATCTTTCAATTTTAATGATTTTGCATTGTCTTATAAATTGACACATTTTTACAACCAACTTGTATTAATGCAATAAAATTTAATATAAATTGAAACACTCCTAATGAGTCTGATTAGGAGCGGAGTGCTAAATCAAAATTTTTGTTGTTTACCATATTATCCATGATATAAATATATCAACATCTTTATGAGAGCATAGTAAGTGGAGATGCAAGGTTTATCTGTTAATTAGGGTCTCTATTGAGCTTTAGTCACATCCAAGCAGGCTAGTTCTAATCTGAGACCGACGTGCTAATTACTTCATCCACTATTTGTCTACCGATTTCTTACCCCTATGGGACAATTAGTCTTGTAATGGTATTGAAAAGGTTGTGTATGAAAATCGACGCCCCTGCCAAGTATGAATCACAATTTTTTATTAGGTTTTTTTTTTAAGAAGGAGGATAAATCCCTGATGGCTACTGTTGGCAGTTGACAGATGTGTAAGCAGAAACATATGTTGACGTTGAAAATGTGCATTAGCGGCTTAGGCAGATCATAGAGGTCCAACATATATGCACAACAGGCCGATAGTGGGTGCTCAGCAGTTTTCATCAATGCAGTGATTGAATTTGAGAAATCTTGCTTGCCGATGCTGTGTTTAAACTTCAAAGGCTGACCGTAGTTCTTGATAGTCTTATAGACGTGCATTATGAATTTGATAATCTCTTTTGTAGTCACACCACGATCTGCACACAAAATCACTCTAATTTTTGTCACTGCTTCAAATGGGACTGATAAACAACAGGTTATTGGCTTCTGCCGTGGAAAACGTGCAAATTTGCAAGACCAACTCTGAACTCCATCTAACCATTGCGCACATTTTCTAGGCCCAAACACCTTACTCAATTTACATCTGTCAACTAAAGATGGAGTTAACAGTCGTTCACACCTTCATTTAACGGACGACTGAGCCCACAGATATCGAATCGTGATTTATATACTTGATGTTAGTGGCGTAGTCGTAAATTTTCCAGTGCAGGAATGTTCATCAATGTTGCAGGAAAATGCCAGTTTCTTACCAATCAATATACAAGTTCTTAGGAAAAACAGCCGTTTGCCCGTATTCCTGCCCACCACTCCCTTTAGGGAGCATAATTTCTTAATGTTTTAAATACTATGACAAGACTAATTAATTATCCCGCAGTGGTGGGGACCGTCTAGAATGGTAGTGATTAAAGTAAGGAACAGGGTGTAGGCCTCATATTTGAACTAGCCCTTTAGGCTGCGACTGTAGAGCTTAATGGGGATTTTAGTTTTACCGACAACTCTTATATTTAATGGGTGTTTCTAGTATAGTAAACTTAATTAGCAATTCGATTTGTCGCTAAAAAATCCTACACTTGTTATATTACTGTAATGAAAGAGCATTGATAAAATATTAGACTTTGATTTGTGTTGCGAGAGGAGTTTTGGAATTTCCAATTGAATTTAAAGTAAATAGAAATGTTTCATCTAGATAGTAGTGTTTATTGTATAGAGCTGTTATAATACTGTGTTGTTTTGTTACTAATAAATTAAACCAAAGAACTGACGTTTTAAGCATCTTAAATTATTTATTAGATGTACCCCTAGTTTTATTTAGAAAATAGATAACGATATTCAGGTCCATGAGATAGATCTGTACATATGTAGTTAGTAAAAAAATCTAACAGTTATACTGTATGTAACAAATAAACATTAAAAAAAATTGGGCCTAATAGTCAATGGGTCAATGGGTAAAAGACAAAGGTTTTCTTAAGTTATAGGTTAAGTTTTGCATTATTTTCGTTAAACAGACATTTTCTGTAGGCCTACTCCATTACTCTCCTAGTCCCATGAGTTTCGGATTATCGAGAGTTAAAACATGTTTAAGAGGAGTTAAAGTTGATGAATCGGCTTCCCGTTACCTTTTTCCAAATGATGAGTGATTAAAGGCTTTTCTCACTTTGGTTTACAGGAAGACTTCCCACAAAGAACATTCGGAGACTTCTTCGGTGAAAGAGATCCTCACAGGTTCGGCGGTGGCAGCTCATATTTTGGAAGCCATTATGGAGGTGGTCATCATAATCATCACGAGCCTCGCGCTTATCAACAGCAAAGTCGCTGGAGGTCGTCTGGTCACACTGGCACTCGATGCAAAACTGTCACTCAACGAATAGGAAACACCGTCACTACCTACACTCAATGCTCTTAGACCTCCCACCACGACGTCTGTATATATGTAATTATCATTTTAATTTTAGGTTAAATTTAAAGATTGCTGAGTAAAGATTGTGTCAATTAGGATGACGATTTGGAGGGATGAGGGAGAGGCAGAATAATGTGTTTACACACGCAGGTGGTCAGCCTGTAGTGTGGGACTCCTATGAGTATAAGACCCTTAGACTGCCCACTGCAAACTTCCTCCGAAAGGAGAGTCGCACCACCAGACGCTAGTGGTAATTAAATTAATCCAGCAGCAATTAATTGTTAAAATTTTACAAAATTACAAAAGCGACAGTGGTAGGGGAAGGGTTCTTGTGGGGATGTACATCCTGCTTGCACACTAATGGACACGATATATAACAAGGTATATTGAAATTCAAGCTTAGGCTGAAGGGTAAAATGTAGAACTTAATTACAGTGGTCCTGTTATCCCGAAATCTAACTGTTCCAAAAGGTTTAGAAAAAAATAAAATTGTTTAACATAAAACGAAGAAAAATATTTTATTTGCTGCTGTACAAAGAGGTTAATGACAGGCTATTTTAGTATTAAGGTATTCAGGTCCACCCTTATTCTGTAACAGAAACTTGAGTTTTATGTTCGTATATAAACACAGGAAATCATTTCTAGATAGAGGGAAAAAATTTAAGCATGTTAAAAACGACAAAGACTTTCTTCACATAATATTCTACGAAATATGAAAAAAAACATATAGGTTACGCTTTATGAAAATGTCTAAAATTGCATTAAATCACAGAGAAGGAAGGTACAGTGGAAACACGCTTATGGGATGACCGTGTGGAAATGTTTTTTTGTCAAGCAAGGAAGAGCCTGAACAGGTGATCGTTTTATGTTAACACTCTGGGAATTTCTATTGTACAGGGCAAAGGGTCTTCCTCCACCGTAAACGTTGTAGTTCATGAGGGCGAGGGGGCAGTGTTGTATTTTGCCCTAGACACTAGCACTAGTGCTAGACACCACTTTAGTGTCCCAATGAATGTTTCCTCTGTGACCAGAGTGGATATTGGGGAGAAGAGTGAGCAGGATAGGAGAGATGATGAGACAAATATTTGTCACACAGATTCCATGGGTTATTTCTACCTTTCACCTAATCCGTTATCAATTATGAATAGATCAGACGTCCTTGTACTGCTTATTCCAAATTTCCACTAATACAAAAAGGTTTAGTCCCAATTACAGTCGAATATCTATTAACCAAAACACTTTTGACCGAAATACCAATTTACCGAAAAGGCAACAAAATTAATTTTGCAGCAATGGTAGCATGCAGCGCTGGTGCAAAACATTATACTTTAGCCTCCTACATAACTAAAAGAAAGTTTAGGGTGGCGAGGAAAGTCTTTGACCTCTATCGCTGCCAGGAACCGCTGGGGAAAGAAAAAAAATGCAAGATTAAAAAAAACAATAGGCAGCCTATTTATCTGTGTAGAAAACATATCTTGTATTAGTTAAAATTGCTTTTCAACTTGACTTATAGCTTTATTTTGTTTTTCCTAATTTAGACAAATACCAAGACAAAATCATGTTTTGAACCAAAATTTAGGTTAGGCCTATATAAAATGACTTTGTCCCCCTTTATTTTGAATAACAGCGAAGTTTGGAACAGCGGGATTACTGTATTCATATCACATTGGAATATTTATTGATGATTAAGAAGAAATATAATGAAAAAGTATGAATTTCCTCTTAGGTTGTTACAGCGTAGTAGAAAAAGCACTATAGTATGATTTTATAAGTTACTGCACTAATTTTTGAAAAGCAACGTTCCTTTGCAACAATCTCTAACATTTATGTAATAGAAAGTTGATTTCTAATTGCTTTAATCTCTTTGAAAGTGTAGAACAATGTTTGATATGTAAATTTTAAACTTACCTTGAACTGTATAATAATGTATAAAAATGATACTGTGATAAAATTGTGTAAAAATGTTACTTCAATTCAAGGTTAGTACCTATAAATAAGACTAATATACAAATAGAGTTACCATTTGGGAAATGTCTGGACTCAGTTTTGGACAATTTTCTTCCTATTAAAATAAATATACTGTGTATTTTTTTGGGATACTACTACAGTAGACCCCCTCTTAACCGACCCTAATGGGACCAGATCTAGGTCGGATAACTCAAAAGGTCGGTTAAAACAGGCAATCCCTAAAATCATAACATAATGAAGTGCTATTAATTTGGAATTATATAATCATCATTTTGAAGTCATACTTTCATTACTGTATTTATAGAATAAACTACTATTATCTCCTTTTCGTGTTGATAGAAAAGTCACAAATAAACACAAAACGGTTAAGTCAAATAAGCCTACTTTCAGTGGAATTATGATAGTTCTAGGCAAGAGTCAATAAAAATTCCTATTTTAATAACTTTAGTACCTACTATGTATTAATTGATGCTTTCCAAATCCATCGTAATACAGTACAAAACCTTTTGTTGAAATTAAAGATACAAGCAAGAGGCACAAAAACTAACTTGACCTTGAACTAAGTTGTTAACCCTCCTTCCCTGCCCTCCCTACAAGTTGCCTTGTTTGTTTACTCCAGCGATAAGATAATCAGTTCTCAAAATCATAACGCACTTTACGATGTTATAAATTTGCCGCACAGATAACAAATCAGATCAGATGTGCTTGCGCTACGAACGATGATGACAAACTAACAATATGCTATATTTTTTGTGATCAATACAAAATAACTTATTCTTAGTCATATCCTGTGGAGATAAGCATATGGTTCAGTTCTCATCGCCCAGCGTGGGAGCGGAAATGCCGAGACTCCTAGAAAGCGGCGGTTAAACCGAACTGCTCTCAAAGCAATCCGATTATCGGTTAATACCAGGTCGGTTAAGAGGGAGTCTACTGTATAAAAATCATATAAACACTATGTATGCAATAGGCTATGTGGTTTTGTGCCATGCTACAATCCAAACAAAGTATGGTCTTTTATCCTTTCTCTACAAATCAAAATCTAACCCATTAAGTTATTTAATTTTCAGTTCTTAACTACCCTGTTGTGTTGGTGAGGATGTATAGTTTTAGCAGTTTAGCTTGTTCAAAACTTTACAACAGGTTTAAATCATGACTTTGTTATATCAGTTTCCCTAAGACTGGAAATTCCATCAGCAAGAAGCACTAATTAATATCAAGAGGCAATTATTAACTATGTATACATCGTCTAAAACTCTGCATTAAATTTAAATGACATTTTGTCTATCAGTAGTTGTATCATTGCGAAACAGTGTTCTACTTGCATGCAAGTTGTTTTCTACTTACAAATTTCTTGCACAATACGGTTCAGTTATTAGGAATCTGTTTTGATCCTGGAAATACTCTTTTCTTTTTTAAATGTCCCTCCTTTACATCCAGGACGCAAGGCTCTACTTGGAACTGTTTTACACATTACTTCAGTTCAGACTAGTCCTAGAGGGTCACGGCATTATTACACAGATTATATCCATTGGTGGGATTTGAATCTGGGACTGAAGTTCCACATTCTACCTCTAGACCAGGTCATTCCCCCCTATGACCTTAAGTCGGAAATTTAAGTCTCCATAAACTGGAAAGCCGTTCAAAAGGTGGTTTTCATTTTTCTCCATAAGAAATATAATTATGGATAGCTGAGGAGCTGATGAAATCTTGCACTCCTTCAATAGTGCCTCTTTCCATATCCTGAGCCAGGTGAAGCTACATACAACCTGAGATCAAGGAAGAAAGACTGGCATTAAGATGTTCGGACAAGCTGTGTTGGTATTTGTAGATTTCTAAACAGAAATGCCGACTCATTCCCTACTTTTTCGAGCAGTTTGTTTGTTGCGGAACAGCGAATATTCATAAAAAACTACAAGTACTGAAGTTCATTGAGTGACTTACACCCATCCACACTAGTAGAGATTTGGCTAGTAGCTACTCGACACTGGACAAATGCAGCATGCGCTTTCCCTCTTGAGTTTTCCTAACTACTCTCATGGCCCTATGACGTCCTCACAAACATCAGCACTACTTAAAAGTAAAGGAACACTGTATTCAGCAGTAGAGTCAACCAGGAACAAAGCAGTAAAACCTAAATATTTTTACAAACCATGTATTTAAAATTTGAGAAAATTAAAATCCAAATATTGTCTGACGGACTGGACTCTATTAATCTTTTAACAAGTTTATTGTGATCAGGCGCTCTTGATTCTTAATTAAGTTATCTAAACTTAAGAAAAATATGCCTGATATTTGAAGTCCAGTTGTATCCAATTATTTAATATGCATATGAAGCATCTATACACTAGATAGAATCCCTAGTTCCGATATACAATTCTAAAATTAGTGCCTGTTTGTAATTTTATAGATAGTAAAAATAAGTTTTAAATGTCATTATTGTGCTATGAAAGGTGATTTATAATATCAAAACTAGACTCTATAACATGTTAGGCCTTTTTGCACACATACAGCTTCACACTTTGTTTTGGTTTTAATGTGAAGTACTGTACCTTGATTCAGTATCACTAATCAATATTATTTTGGTGATATTAGTCAATATTATTTAGTTTTATATTCCTAATTTATTCAAAAAAGAAATTTATATTCATAAATTCATACTTCCTTAGTATGATTATTCATACTAGCCGTAGACAATTTAAATTGCACTTTTAAGTGTGTTGACATCTCTTTATTTTTCTAGTTTTAAAGTTATTACGACCAAATAAAACAATCTTTTGGAAACTGCTGCTTATACACAGCGCGAAAAATAACAGAGAAATGTGTGACACTAGTATCAATATCAAAACGTTCGACACATGAAATATATATTTAAACAAGCTCGAGATTTCACAACAGGATTAGATGCCTACTTGCAGTTTCCAAAGGCGATTCTATAACCCAAATTATCTTGCATTTTGCTTACGATTTGTTAGACTGATTTTCTGTTTATTATACCCAAAATGCTAAAAAATTAGAAGTAAATAATAAGGATGGGGTTGTTTTAGCAGTTTAGCTTATAACTTAAACGTCGCACATTGAACTTCACTAAGTTTTATGACTTTGTATCATTGTAATAGTTTTTACTTAAATACTTATGTATACACCTAGGGTACAAATTCCATGCAGTTTAACAGCTGTTTTATGTGTAAAATAATTCGGAAAATGATTAGAAGTGATGTCTTAGTGTGCAAAAGACCTAACTATCCCAAGGTACAGACTAGGTTAAGTCAAGGAGTGTTACTACTGTTTCTTAGTTTTAAATGGTAACAGTAGAAAGTCTATTAAAATAAGTATGTTATATATCAGGTAATTAATTGTTAATTGGTTTTGGCAGGTAGATCTTGCTAACCTTAAAATTAAACTCAATTGGTACATCAAAAAATACATTACATCACAACATCACAGTTTTTGCAATTCTATCCAACAAAATATAGATTTGCTAGTATATAGACTATAGAGTGATTAGAAACAATTGTTATTTTTTATTAGTGTTATCTGTGTTTTTTTTAGTTCTATTGAAAACTTAAATTATGCCATGTGAAAACGTTAAGAATATATTTGACTTCTATTATAATATTTCCTTTATTATTGTAAAACTATATCAAAGCTACAATACGTTTTTCCTTGTGAGTGTTACGTTAGTAACTCTTCTACAGTTAGTACTTCAATTACAGATTTGTCAAAAAATTATTTACAAATCATATTTTCTATATTGACACCTTTGTAGCTTTAAACGAAACATTAAAAGACTGTTATGCGTTGTAAACTAAAAAATATTTCTAATTTAGTTATATCACCTATGATTTGGTTAGTGATTACCTTAATTGTATTATTTTTATAGTTGGTTGTGTTATGTGAAGGTACTTGAATTTTAAGTATCCGTCAATATTCTGACGTGTAACAAAATTAACCCTAGGGCAGTTCCTTTGGATAGTTTCACTGAAAATCTGTTGGCTTTGACAGTAGATAGATTGAGACATTGTTGTTCAAGTTGTAACCACTTAAAAACAAAATGAATTGTAATTAAATTTTAGTCACCGACAGAGTATGCTGATTATAAATTACTGATTTTTATCTTGCGTGTATTTACAATATACAAAAGTCAGTAGCATTAATTAATGTTGATAGTACCAATAAGCTGTTAGAACTGTTATAAATAAGATATAATTTACTTTCTCAAATTGACACCCAATGCAAAAAACTGGCAAACTGAGAAGATTCTATTTTTATAACATACAGCATTTCAGTCAGTAAATTACTCTCTTATTCGAGTGCCATCTATTAAACGTTTTAACTCTGTGGAGAAAATAATTAACCTTTCAAAATTATGTCAGTTACCCTTGATGGACACTTAAAAGACAAGTACAGTCATATCCCTATAATCTGTATTTATTTGTAAATATCGTAAGTGAACCTAGCTGTATTCGCGTTTCTATTGTCTAATAAATTTTATTGACATTAGTATTTGTTAATTTACCACCCGATTCTGTATTTTACCGACTTTTTAGCCTGTGGTGTGACATGGTTTTGAAATATCATTAAGCGGAGAAGGTGCTGAGGTTGCTATAAGCCATAAGCTGTCCTAGATGGTAAAGGAGCTTTGTCAACTACTAAGAATATTACAAAGTAGAAGCCGAAGATTAGGAATAAAGTGACCTGACTTTGTATTGTGGATAAGGTTTACGGGGTGAGGGTAGTTGATTAGTTTGGTCACTGTTGTGGTCAGTGGAGGTTTTGGTGGTTTGGCAAGTTTGTGAGATGGTAGGGCGAGGCTAGGATGGTTGATGTACTGCTGGAGTAAGCACAATCAAGGTATACAAGCATCAAAACAAAACATAAAAAAATCCTGTGATGCTTGGGTGATTTGTAAAGTATAGGAGAGTTTGGAGTCAAGCTTGACTCAAGATGGAGATTACAAGTCTTTAATGGGGTCAGGCGGGCGTTTTTGAAATGGATGGGATTGGACTTGGTGAAATCCACGGGAGTTGAAATTGAAAAAAACAAAACTGGGTCTTAGGCGTTGATGGTGATACACCAATGGAGTTTTGTTTTTTTCAATTTCAACTCAAGATGGAGGTTACAAGTCTTTAATGGGGTCAGGCGGGCGTTTTTTAAATGGATGGGATTGGACTTGGTGAAATCCACGGGAGTTGAAATTGAAAAAACAAAACTGGGTCTTAGGCGTTGATGGTGATACACCAATGGAGGGTGTCTGTGTTGTGTGGTGGTGTTTTTGGTAGGTCCAGAAGGCGGTGTTGTCATCGAACTGAGTGAGACAGCAGGACCTGTTGTTGGGGACTGAGGATGAGATGATAGGGACGTACAGGATGTACAGTAGAGGGCTGATAACAGAACCAGAATTCTAGAATGAACAGTGAAAGGGGTGGATAGGCTGCAGAAGAGTACTTGGGCGTTGCTGCCAACGAGGAAGTGGGAGCCCATCCAATGACTGACAGAAGGAAGGATATGAAGGCCAAGGAGTTTTACACAGAGCCCATCATGTCAGACAGTTTTGAAGCCCTTTTGGACCTCGTTGAGTGTGAAAATGGTTCAGCATCGGTCGTTGGTTTGGAGTCATGTAACAACTTGCAAAAGCTGATTCTGGATGAAAGGGGGGCTTGGGTGTTGGGTAGTCCAAGAGAATGCACATGGATATGGATTATTGTCTTTTAGAACTTGGATAACTGAAAAATCATAAATTAATAACAATAATTTACCTGCTAACAGCTTTTTCTTCAATAATTACAAATAATAACTGCCTTTATAAATAATGTTAGGCCTACACAATAAATGCTTAGTGCAATGCTAGAAAGAAGACAAGGGGATATGCTAAATTGTGAAATAATTTAGACTTATGACAGCAACATGAAATATTTAAAATTTGTGTGTACATATATAATAATTGTGAATGTTATTTTTTTGAATTAATAACCCATTTAAGTTAATCTCTCCCAACAACTTTGAACACTGTTGGTGATAAAAATAATCCCACTATTGAAATGTGATTATCAGGAAGATTTATGAACTTTATTTTTTGTTATCAAGAAGCCCTTTGCCATTAAGAATCTTACAATCAAATTGTGCTTGTCGTTAGTACCTACTATAAAAATATTTCTTATACACAACAATACAATTGTGACAAAAAGTTTTCAAATAATAGAGTATCAATCACCAAAACTACAATGAAAAACTATAAGAGTTCCACCAATTAAAAATAATTTAATGTTGGTGTTCCTCCTCCACCTAATCCTTCCCATAGCGGGTTTTACTAATGGGCACTTATTGTAAAACAAGTCATTCCTAGAATTCCAGTTTCATCAACAATAAATGTCAAAACTGTAACAAATCAGGTAATAACTTAAGAAAGTAATTTTTATAGGAAGTTAAATAGCTTAATTTTACAATATGACACCATTTTGTTTCTACAAATTTTAAGAGAAAATTTCATAAAATATTTCTACTTCAAGGTCACTGTATTGAACCCTCCCTCCCACCATCGAATCATCCTGTAGATAAGGACACAACTCGCGTTATCACTCGGGCCTATCAGTTGACCCGGGTCCGCGCTTCCTGGTGCATCATGCCCGCGCTATACTCCGACTCCGAGACGACCATGGTGACTTCCACCCCTGTCCCTATACATCCCCGGGGGTCGTCATCCCTTGGGACAGGTCGTCGTAGCAGAGTGAGGGGTCGTCGGTTATCATCAGGTACAAATCCCGTAACTTACATTTTACGAGTAGGTTGTGTTGTGCTAGGTTTGTTTGGTAGGGTTATGTTATGGATGTGGGAAGAATAATTGAACAAGCTATGTTGTGGTTTTCTGCAGGGGATTATTTGAAACCACCGAATCGTTTGTGTCAGCTTACGTCATTAAATATGTCAAATATCACTTGTTCGTAGTGTTTCTGGTCGTTATATCGACCTAATATCGACGAATTCGTAAAATAAAGTTATACTGTAACGGTATAAAATGAATACCCCCGCCAAGTTGTTGTACATGTAAACATAGCAATACATTTAGCAAGTTTGTCGTCGAAATAACTGTAGAAACGCTATACAAACTTATATTTCACAGATTACATTAATACTCAATAGAAAAAAATACGCTATTTCATGGTTTTGTAACTATTTCTCATACGGAAAATATCAAAACATAGCCTATCACAATACAACCTACGATTTTATTGACAGAAATCAATACCTGCTCGTCTTTGCGAATTTACCTATAGGAAAGTAGTTATTACCGTAGGTGACTCGGTAAGACCTATGCCCGGGATCGATTTAATTTTTAATTTTGATGTAGCCAGAGGCCAAAAACACTATTTAATTGCGTCACGAAAACCTGTTGTCTCAAGAAATTGAGATAATTTAATATATAACTTATCCATGAACGCGATAACCTGAGTAATTTTGTACGATTTTAATTTAATTTGGCTTGAAGGTGTAGAGCGGGATAAACTTGAATGAGGTCACGAACCAGCATGATCGGACCATGGGAACTGGGTTTTATGGGGTAAAAATTGTTTTCCCCATTTTGACCCCTTAAACATAACACTTTCTAATTTTTCTCTAAATTAATTTACAGAGCTCATTTCTCTAAACTAATTTGAAAAGCTTCAAAACTAATAATTTTAGTGTTTTCACATAACATTAGTGTTTACACATTTAAGTGTTTTCTTACGGTTATTGGCTACGGGTAAAATAAAATAAAAAATCATTTGAAATGTCCATGTTTTTCTTATGAAGATTAAGTAAACTGTTATTTTGATCAAACTTGGCAAATTTATTTATTTTATACCAAGCTAATAATGTTTTACTATAAAACAAACATAATTACCCTCCCTGTAGCAGCAATTCTAGGTAGGCATTAAACCTAATACTATTTAAATAGATTTTAGTGAAAATCAAATCAGGCAATGGAAATTCGCTGAGTCTGCAGGTTTGCTGCGGTGGGAACTTAATGTGAACGTTAAGGGATATATTAGTGTAATGACTAATAGGTTGAAGTAATTATTCAGTTTACTCATATCACAGATAAGAGGTCCCTTGTCTGTGCTCATATCTAAACAAAATGAGTTACAACGGAAATGTCTCTGGAAATTACATCCAAGAATATTTCATATGAAATCCATTAGCAATTCCTCAATAGGATGATAGCCGCATTCAAAAAGTATAACCGTTAAGATTTTTTGAAGACTTAACAGAACAACTAAACGTTTCTGGTAAAAAAGCTTAAACAGTTTTTCGCCCTCTTTAATTTGCAACCATGAATTTCGGAGTAGAGGCTCTCGAAAATCGCATTTCTATCTCAAGAGTGTGTGAAGTAAATTTTGGAGTCTTCTATAAAGGAACGCCGACTATTCTAAGGAATCTCAATGAATAAAATTCCTCGTACATATGCAAGTTAAATGCGACGAAGTGAAAATAATTCTTGAATAACCTAAACAAACTAAATTACTAGTTATTTGTGTAATTTATATAAATAATCTTCTAATATTGAACACACCATTTTTTTACAATCTACGCTTTTACTCTGTCAAAATATTCGATCGGAAACGTAAGAGTGATTCTGAAAAACCTTGAAAACTCCAGTGAAGCAAAAACACGTAAATAGTTGATAGGCTAAACATATATTTACATGTCCCACCTTCACATCCTAGGACACTAAACATGGTAGATCTATTATTGATGATTCATTTCTATTTTTAACTTGAAACATCCGTTATATACATTGTTTTAAACACAAGTGGCAAACATATTTTTGAATCTCACCTATTAATTGCATGTCCCCCAATAAACTTCGAAAACAAAAATAAATAACAATATAAAATATTCTTTATTAAAATATTCATTGAAAACAGTACCTACAGCGTCATAGTATAACATGTCTATACTCCTTTTATCTGTGATAACATACAATATAAATAAAAACTTTTAAATGGAAAACAGGACAGTACTGAGCAATAAATTTCTAACATTAATATTAATAAACAAACAAAATACAGTAGTTGGATAACAATAACAGAATAGGCAATAGACAGTTTTACCTATTAAAACCATTCCAGGGCTCTGGACGGATATATCCGTCAAATCTTTGTTTACTTTCCGGGCTGAAAACTGATATATCCGTCCTGAGAAATTTCTTTTCTGGGCTAAAGACGGATATTTCCGGCCAAAAACGAATGGTTTATAATACTTCAGTTAACATTACACTGCATTATAAATGGGTTATTTTGGTTGGCAATAATAATTGCCGCAGCTGTTTGGCTATTTTGCACCATACAGTGTGCGTAAGTAAATATTGCTGTCACTTCACACATTGTTGCTAGTGAGTTATGTTTAAATTTCGTGTTTTGTAATTTCTTTTTATGTTATTGGGCTATAGTTACTGATGCAAACAATCTGAAATTCGAAGATGTTATTGAGATGCTTGATTGAAGCATGTTTAAAGGGGGTTTTATACTTGGCAGTGAAAATAATAGTATGGAATGTGATGGATATGATACACCTGAAGAACAAACAGTCTTTACGTAGTGGAAGTCTTGGTGGGGAATGGGATTGAGAACATGGGAGCGGAACTGAGTGGTTCAGATTAACTTCAGAATGATAGATACATATTTATGGATAAAAAATAAAACAAGGGAAGGAATAGCCTAAGGTTGACGGATACGTCTGCCGCCAACAAGAATACTCAAGATTATTGGTAGTGTTCATATTTTGTGATTATCACCAAGGGTGGCAGACGGATATATTCGTCAAATCAAATTTGATTTCTTTATAACTTTCGTACAAAAATTAGTTCAGCCCTAAGGAAAATCTGTTTATGATCCATGCATTATTCCAAGTGAAATAAATACAAAACACAACCACTTTAGTTTTTAATTTTGGCAAAAAATAATTAAGCTCCAGCCCTTCATTTAAATTAGCTCTGAAAGGGTTAGATTTAAAACAGAAATAAATATTTAATTCAACTCTAAAGTTCACTATTTTTGACAAGTCGTTGCCCCTGATTATGTAAGCATAGACATTTTTTTAAAAAGCAAACTTAGTAGAATCACTCATTATATTCAAAATGGTGTGTGGTTCACAATTTAAATGTTTAAACTGGAAACGCTATAAGATACCGCGCGAAGCGGTTTTCTGACGATTTTCGGCGGTGGTAGGTAACCCTCTTCATTATGAATGAGTAAATTCATGATTTGAGTCCTGGGTTAATATACTACAGATAACATCGACATTGATCGGTATTTCGAAAACACCTTAAGCCACAAGTACGATACATAATATGATAATCTTATCTCGAACATAAAGCAATGAAATCATATAATAAAGTTTAAGGAGATGATACAACTATTACAATCCCAACTAGAATAAATGTATTATTACTTATATTGTTGTGTCATTCGTAGGAAGGTATCGTAGTGACTTTTTTTGTGTCCAGATGACTTACAAGTGAGTTGTTTACATAAACGTAGGGAACTGATCAATGGTTACGATTGGTATAACTGATCGCCATAGTACACATGTATAGATGCAAAAATCTTCTTCAGCAATAGTTAAAACTATTTACGTAACTATTTAAATACCCCCGCCGCAGCAAACCTGCAGACTAAGCGTATTTCTATTTACGTGGCTGGATTTCTACTAAAATATTCCCTTAAAATTGTTCGATTAATTTCCTATTTAAATAACATTAATTTTAGTGAGTACTTTGGTTTGCTGCTACAGGAAGGTTATTAGGAGTGTTTTATTGATATGTTGATAGCTTAGTATGAAATAATCAAAACCGCCGATATTCGATCAAAATGTATCGATAAACAAGAAAGCTAAAACAGTTTGATTATTCTCAATAAGAACAACACGGAAATTTTTAATTTACGTTTTTTTATTTCCTTTTTAGCCGTTAGGGATACAATTTCGTTTTTGAATAAAGTTAATTCTCAAATTTTGAACATGTATACAATGTGTAATTGTTATTATTATTATATTCCTGATTTAGTTTGGAGGCCAAGAGATTTAAGTGAACATTTTGGAGGTCAAAAGAGTTTTGTGGACTGGTGCTTTAAATGTTATTTTATTTAAAAATAAAATATTTTCATCACAAACTTGGCTTTAAAATAAGCAGTATAGGCCTAGTAAATTGAAGCCCAGAATAGTGATATACATATATTATAAGTATGTAAAATATTATGTTTTGAATATTCTGTGAAGGCTAAGCTTTAGCCTCAATTTTCTCAAAAGTAAGAAAAAGTCACATAGCCTACCTCCCTTGGCCTCTCAATAACGCTTAAATATATTAAGTTATTTGTTTTTTTAAGCTATACAAAATATGGTTTGGAAAGAAATTGCTAAATTTTATGTTTTGAGGGTAAAAATGGGAAACCCCAATTTTTACCCAAAAAACCTATCGTTCCCATAGTCCGATCATGCTGGTTCGCGAAATCGTTCAAATAATCGTAGGTTTATAAGTGTGTACCAAATTTAATCAAAATCGGATCATTTTTACTCGAGTTACCGATTCTGCTAACGAACACCCACACACACATATAGGCTATATGAATTTGAACGGATTGTGTTTTTAGTCTCTGGGCACATAAAAACGACAACAGCTTATTCCCAATATGGAAAATTCCCTAAATTATAACATTACATGTTAATGTTTTTGCATCTCTGAAACAAATGTTAATTATTTACGTTTGTAAAGTAG